AATACAGATTTGGTGCTGCACGCACAGTTAAAGGGCTCCACAGCGCTTTCTGCCAGAGTGATGCTGCAGAGGTAGCCCATTTTCCCATCAATGTTTTATGTAACCATTTTTTTTTTTTATCAATACTAAGAAGTGAAAGATCGATATTATATTGGGCAGCCGAATATCACGATATATCGCCAAATCGATTATTTCCCACACCCCTACTCGGAACGATTTGGGAATAACAGTGGTTTTCATACCTGCACCATGATCCAGGAATGATTAACAAAAGATCTTAAATTAAAAACTATCATATCCAGTTATGATTAGGGTATCATTAAAAGTGCACTAAATAGGTAACTGTGCCATTTTGTTCCGATTTCTTATGTGTTGCGTAAGGTGTTTCTTTTATTCACTTCTGGTCTCCATTTAAAAAGAGTTTTATGGTATCAATAGAACTTTGGCTTTAAAAAATGGCATTAAAAAAATGTAATCGTGTTCTTTTTAGTGTTTGTTAATAAGATCACTTATCAGCCAAACTAACTGAAATTAAGTGCTTATGACATAAGACCTGACCTTATGTACCTTGTCAAATGTCTAATGCAAAAAATAAATATAATTATATGTATTACTATTGCTTCCCATAAATAGTATAGAGATGTGTTTTATGCTGTATTAAGAGGTCTTTATAATCAGCAGCTTAGATTTACTATTTAGTCTTTGAATGAAAGTAATTTGTAAATGAATAGGCTCAATATCAGAGAGTTAGAAAAACAAAAACCAAAGCACAGCTGGAGCTCTCATTTCCTCCGACTGCAATCAACCAAATTCGACCTCATTCAGTAGTTTTAAAGCAATAATTACGACGCAAGCAGTGGTAAAAGCAGATAGTAGGATAAATGTCTTTAAATTGCTTTCCACAAACATATATCCAAAGCTTACACATGTATAAAAACCCCTTACATAAATTTATCTTGAATTTAAAAGAAAATACTTTTTATTAGCAAAGCTGAGCAGTGGAGAGTACAACAACAACAACAAAAAAAGCTATGTAATGCTCTCGGATTTGTGACTGTAAACTATTAAGAAATTCAGCTGGGGGGGGCTGACCAGCATAGGATACAATACTCCATTTGCATCTGTTAAAGCCAGCCCTTTCATCTCTCATGCCATTTTCACGCCCTTGCAGCTCCATGAACCCAGTTGTCCTCCACCATTCATCCGAACCACGACACAGTTCTCCTCTGAGGTAGATCAAAGCGCTGCTTTCTCTCTCGCTTTACAGGGCTGAATTTCGTTGTGTAAATAAGACGTAACCTCTCCGTTGTCTTGGCTGATCTATTCCATAATACATAAATGTCCATAAAAGTACACTCACTAGGCCAAGACCTCTTGAAAGATTTCAATGTGTTGCAGAAAATGTTGTAATTCACATTAGTTCATTACCTCAAATGAGCCTCCATATAAATACAAGCACTTGGTAATCACTTGCTATAATAATCCTGAGGAGTGCTTTTTAATCTGCCACACCATGCTGACATAACAGTGGGGATGTCAGTATCAGTATTTCCACCACTTGGCTGTAGCATTAAACCTACCGTATTAAGAACCGTTTTGTGGTTGTGGTGATAAAATGCTGCCGACCAAACCACAACTTCCAGGACTGAGAAGTAAAGTTGACATACGTGTCAAAATCTTTAACTAATTGATTTACAAACTGCAATTAAGACATGAAATGTCAGGCTGAATCTAAAGCTTAAAATACTTTAGGCTTACCTACCTAATTAGGTGCAACAAAATCCCAGAGTTAATGAGTGGTAAGCCAGCAATTTGTTGTGATCATACAGTCTAGTGTGTTTTTACAGTATATTTTACAAATTGTGCAGCAGTCTCTATAGTGAAGTGTTGTAATCTTTGATTGTAATGCTAAAAACCTGGGTTCAAATCTGAGTTGCAGAGACAGTATCTGTAGAAAAATCATAGTCATCTTTCAGCAAGTTGTAATGATTTATTGCAACTTAAATTGTTTCAAATTCCTAATCCTAGTGGCTTCACTTTTAAATTATTGTGTTTCCATCCATCCATCCATCCATCCATCCATCCATCCATCCATCCATCCATCCATCCATCCATCCATCCATCCATCCATCCATCCATCCAT